TTATCAATAGTCAGTGTCTATGGAAGAGCAGTCAAGAAGTCAAACAAGGTATTGTATTAGACTAATCCATTGGAAAAGACCTCTTTCAAGTTTTAAAAAAACAGATGTCACTTTGAGAATAAGGTGCATCTAACTCAAGACAGTCTTTGCAATTCCCTCCTATGCATGTGAAAGCTGGATAATGAAAAAGAAGAATTGATATATTTGAACTGTGTTGTTGACAAAGAATATACTGTAGACTGGCAGAAGAATGAACAAATCAGTCTTCTGTTGTCTCAGTCTGCTTCTCTTTGTAGATGGCTTTAAGGGCAGACAGTGAGGTTGTGTAGACTCAGAGCCTTCACCACTCCCTGTACAGAGGGCTTCAGGCCCTCCTTCTATAGCAGCTAGGCTTGTGTGATAGTTATGTTTGTGTGTCAACTTGGCTCAGCCTGGTTAAGTGGCTGGGCAGCTGATGATAGTATTCCCCATGATGAGACTGGCAATCAACTCCATGGTGGGATCTACCACAAGCAGCTGAGTAGCTGCTTTTGGGCTGTGGTCTGCTTCCTGTATATAAGAAGCCTTGGGAATGGTCTCTAGCCTATGGCATGCTTGGACTCTGCATGTAGCCATGTCGTTGCTCAGCAGCCTGCTATGCTCTGCCAACCTTGGGACTTAAAATGAACTTAAGTTAATGGCCTGCCATGTGCTTTGGTAACATTGGGACTGTGCCTTTTTACTTGTCAACCTTGGGGCTTCTCAGCGTCAGCAGCTAGCAGCTGTCTGAGTGAAGAAACGCCTCTAGCTCCAGTGGGCTGGGAGCAGGAGGCAGAGCTGGACCCCAAGGTTGAGGGGCTTTCCCCCAGCCCCTAGAGCCTGTCACTGAACTTGGACTTAAAGCCTCTAAATTCTAAGAATAAACTCCTGTTTGTTAAGGCCATCCCGTTTGTGGTATATTTCTGTCAGAGCGGCACTAGGTAACCAGAACAACTAGCCTTCTGCATCCCATGTTCCTGGTGGTGCCCTTCCTTCAAGCTATGCCAGCTCTGTGCCCCACCACCATCATCACATTCTCCCCTGGGATGGAGACCAGCTACACAAAGTCTTCTCTCTGTGCCCCCAATCTCCTCAGTTACTTCTCTTACCTCTTATGTATTGGGAATTACCCCACTCCAAATCCAGGCTATCTTTATCCATCTTAATCTACCCCTCCTAGTGCAGCCTCACCTCCACCTCTCAGCTCTCTTATTTAAAGTGATGGCTAAGTAACAGTAAGGCTACTTTCTTGTTACCCTCAGCCCAAATAGAATGGACCTGATAGAAGACTGCTAGCCCCTTGCTCCTCCTTCAGCCTCCAAAATGGCTCGTTCCTAGAACTGAGAGCACAAGGGCAGGACAGGTGTGTGAAGTTAAATGGATTTGAAATGTATGAGTGGTTCTTACTGTAGGGCAGCTCCTGATTCTGTGGGTAACCTTAGTTTGTGTGGCTTGGGGATTATGTAGGACTCAAGAGAAAGGGTGTTACTCCCTGGGCCCTTTGTTGCAGTGGAAGGGAAAAATAAACTACAAGCAGAGCAGTGTCAGAGTTGCCCAAAACATTTGTTTCTGCTTGTTGGTCTGAGACATGAGGAGGGTGAAAAATGATGTAAGAGTAGACTAGGAGTTCAGGCTGGGGACTGACTCAAGGCCAGTAAGACCATTTCCAGGTTGTGCCTGAAGTATTTTAGGAGTCCTGAGGATGAAACTGGAGAGTGAGCTACCATTAGGAAGCACTGAAGAACAAGGCAAACAGGGTGGTGGTTTTTTAGGTGTTATCGTGTTGGTTCCAACTCATAGTGACCCTATGTACAACAGATGAAACACTACCTGGACATGTGCCATCCTCACAATTTTTACCATGTTTGAACCTATTGTTGCAGCCACTAAGGAGAGTAACTAGGGGAAAATATGAGAAGCCCCTGCCTTAGTATAGCAGTCATTTGTATTCCATGCACTGTGTCAAATTCTTCCTCTCCATCAGCACACTTCTCACAATTCTGAGCTATGAATCTATGTGCCGTTACCACCAGCACTTAGAAAGGCCCATTTTACAAAGCAGGAAACTGCTAGTTAGAAAGGTTAAGAATTTTTCCTAGGGTCACAGCTATTAACTGGTAGAGCCAGGTCTTGGTGATGCCAAAGTCTGTATTCATTAATTGTACTCCTCTTTACTATTCTACAAGGAGCCCTGGTGGCACAGTGCCTAGGGCATTTGACTGCTACCTGGAAGAATGCTTCCATTCTGTGAATGACCAACTATCTACTTCACTAAAGATTTATCACCTCAGAAACCCAGAGGGGGTCACTATGAATCCAAATCAACTCAAAGGCAGTGAGTTTGGTTTGGTTTAACTATTCTAGGAGCTCTGCTGGTGTAGTAGTTAAGGCATATGACTGCTAACCAAGTCGGTGGTTTGAGCCCACCAGCTGTTCTGCAGGAGAAAGAGGCGGTCTGCTTCCATAAACATTTGCAGCCTTGGAAACCAAATGGTGGTCGCTATGAGTCAGAATCAACTTGATGGCAGTGTTTTTTTCTCCCTCCCACTAAGTATGTGTCTCTTCCAACCTATAATCTATGTCTTCTGGTCATCAGTCAGAATGAAAGCCAAGGAGTTGGCCATTGTTTCATGAGGCTGGAGCCAAATAGGGCTGAAATGAAATGTCAGTATCCCTCCCAAGTTCCTTCTTATCTCTGCTCTGTAGCCCTCACCCCACAGGATGAACAGGTCAGAAGTGCCAGGTGGCTGGTTCTAGTGCATCTCACTATACTACTGCTAACACCTGATTTCCAAAGTGATATGACTTGGAAACCCAAGGAGGGGTCACTATGAGTCAGATCCGACTTGGCGGCCCTTAAGTTTGGTTTTTTTTTGGTTTATCTCTGCCAAGAATTGCAGTCACAAGTCCCAGGGTTAAGTGCTGGAATGAAGGGTGGTCCTCATCTTAGAGCAGGAAGCAGGGGTAAAACATATGCCTCAAAGGCAAGACCCAAATGGGAAAGCTTGTGAAACACAAGATTTGATCCACCAAGATTGAAATCAGGGCAACCTTTGCACGACTCTAGTGCCGACTCAGAACTACAAGTGTGGGCACTGGAACTCAAATCTGAGTGGAGGCTTGGCATGAACTATAGCCTAAACTTTTGTAGTTAGGAGAGATCTACATAACTGAAGTCCAGGGAAATGGATGACCCACCCAAGACCACACAGCTTGGTTAGTAGCAGAGCTGGGCTGAGGACTATAGGGGTTTTGAGTTCCATCATCCAGTTCAGCAATCCAGGTGGTGATGAATAATCTACACCTGTTTGACTCGAGACTCCCGTATTCTTTTGGCCATAGCGTTATTTCTCTTGACACTGGTCGTCATGTATCTTCACCAGCTCTGTTTAATGCCTAAGATTTAATAACTGCACTGGACTAGGAAGCCAGTACGTGCATGTTGAGTTCAACTTCATCTCTCTGTGGTTGAGCAAGTGGACAAATCCCCCTTTTCCTCTAGAATCTACATGTCCCTCAATGACAGGGAAAATCTTCCCTGAGAGGACCCAGAGCATTAAGTGTCTTTTTGCCCACTGCACAAGACAAAAGATTTTTATAAAGAGGAAACCATTATCAGACTCTTCCAAGTTATTTACCATCATTAAGTAAGTTCGAGATGAACAAAGTGACCCATTTGGCTGAGCCAGGTCAAGCAAGAACAGGTCCTGAGGAGAAACGTGAGAGCTCCTTCTTCCCTTCCAGTACTGCTCGGGTTCCAGGTTCACTTTCTTCTCTGGTCTCCTCTGGCCTCAAATTCTCCACGACTGGGGGTGGAGGGGGTTTGAAGAACTTTGCTAACCCCAGTTCCTCCCCATTGAGGGCCTATATAGGGTTATGAGAGTTTCTCCTGCTGTGTGTAGCACTGTGTTCCCTCCCCCAGTCCACAGGAGAATCTACGCCCAAGGGGCAACTCCTTAGACAACTATGAGATATACCCTACTTTCCCCCAAAGAGTGAAGTTACAGCAAAAGTGAGGGAGCCAGCAAGAGAGGTACGTAAGTTTTCATCCCCCTGGGCTAGCCTAGCGGAGCGCCACTACTTCCCCTCATCTGCCAGTGTCGTTACCACTGAGGTCCCAGCCCTAAACTCTGAATTAAGAAGGCCCCACATGGAGACAGGAGGGAAAGTAAGAGTATGACCAGGAGACAGGTAGGTTGAAATTACATGAGGGAAAATACAAAAAAGGTAGGCAGAATCCTACTTAAGTCTTTTTTCCCCATTCTTTATTCCATAAACACCTAGTTACAAGTTGCACAAATCAAAAATAAAGGCAGGGGAGGGTGTAGGGAATATTTTTGTGATGTATGTGGGTGGGGGAGAAGGGGTGGGGAACAAGACCAGTCCTCTCCCTCCACAGTCCTGGACAAGGGCTCTGGCCCTGTACTGGGGCTCTGAGGAAGAGGTGCAAAAAGACCCAGGAGAACTGAAGGATAGAGGCCCCTGGACCCAGAGCTTACCCCTAAAGCTCTTCATTGTATGACAGGGGCAGAGTGGGGGAGAGGGGATGATGGAGCAGCAAAATGGAAAAATCAAGTTAGCGGATACAGGAAAAGGAGTCATTATGGTAAGGGAGTTAGTTAAAGGAAGAGTAGGTAAAAGGGGCTGTGAAAAGTTCTCCCTGAGACCCCCAGGGAGAGGTGGGGGCCAGCTTGCCTATTAATTTAATAATAAATTGGAGGTGGGAGTTGGAGAGGGAAAAGTTATCTCAAGGGATGCTTTCTCAGCCTCTCATAGTTTGTACCTGGAGTGGAAAGAAAGATGAGCATAAGTTAGAAGGAGAGAAAATATGAAAACCACAAGTTGGAGTTTAATACCCCTATTTCAGCTTCTGCCTCACAGCATTATCGACACATGAGCACAGGCACACACCCCCGCCCCCTTCGTCCCTCTCGGTTCCTCCACTTCCAATACTTACAAAAGAGGCTGAGGGCCTGGGGCCTTCACCAGTCATAGCGGCGGGACTGTCGGGAGGGGGAATCCTCAGGTCCCTGTATAGCCAGGCGGGGAGGCCCCTCAGCCCTTCGGCCCCCACCCCCTGATGCCTCATGCCGTCGAAATTCCAGAGGGCGCTGCTGCCGGAACCGGGAAGTCTCCCTCCGCCACTCATCATCAAATGCTGCAGCCTCACCTGGAGAGAACAGGGACCTGATATGATACCTGTGTACAAATACCGGTGTCTGGAAGGCAGATGTAAGAGTAAGCCATAGCCTCCTAAGACCAAAAAACAGGAAAACAGTGAAGGTGTGTGTGTGAAGGTGGAGGATGTGTTTGAGGAAGGCAACAGATTCTTTATTTAGCTCTTTTGCATTAAATATAGCTCCACTGGCAGGCCTAAGGAATAATTACCGGAAAAAGAAATGAGAAATGGGGTAACTATTCAATTAGATCCCCCTTAAAGAGCAAACTTTCACACACACAGTAAGTATTTAATAAATATTTGTTGATTTGCAAATGATGAAATAGAGGGGAAAAAAAAGGACCCAGATGGAGGCCTGCAGGATACTATCAATACTGACTCAGGTGACAAACTTTGCTCTCCTCTGTATGGCTCAGCCCCTAAGCTGACGACAGAACTTCAAGTGAGGCAAGAAAAAGAGGCTCAAAAAGAGTGGAGAAAGAAAGGGATTTTATCCAAGGGATAAAGAAAGGTAGTATCTCCTAGCTCACAGGAACTTGACTAGGGGCTACTGCCCAAGGGGGTGGGAGGTAGGAAGACAGGCTTACTCTCATCCAGGTTGATGTAGTCCTGTCGCTCTTCCTGGTCCCCTGTGCGGTGGTTTCGGGAGCGTTGAAGGATGTGAGCCCTGTCTCGGATGTGATGCCCAATGGACATCTGCTCTAGTCCACTGTCCGAGTCCCGGACAGTCCTCCGCGTCTCCCGGATCTGGGATAAAAGCACAATATGGCACATTCGGCTGCCCCTTCTAAGACCTGGCTACACCAGCCCATAATAAACAAACCACCCAAACTCCAATCTTGAAGGGAGGAAAAAAAAAAAATCAGGTATTCTGTGGATACCACTCCATCTTGCCCTCTTTTGGGGGCAGGAAAGCCCCCAACTCACCCCGCCTGGTGCTGAGCGCATCTCTGATGTCTCTTGGTAGACCTTGGGGGCACCATCCCCCGTGTTGGAATAGGAGATGACAGTGGAGGATGAAAAAGTCTGACAATTGCCTCCAGCTGTCATGTGTTCCTGAAGAGGAAAGTGTATGACAGGATTTAATAGGGAGGGGTTTCCCATCTGGAGAAGAGAACCCACCCTTCAGGAAGGGTTCCACCCTTCAGCTGCATGTTATTGGCCATTATCTTCCTCACGAAATACGAGAACTTCAGACATCAGATCTCACCACTGCATACTAAAGCTCTCTGGACCTAACAAACAAAAAGGACCTTAAGAGATTAACTGCACACTTAATCTGAGATGCTTCTTCACCCTCAGGTGTGAGAGCAGATGCAGGATCACCGTGCTGTCTGAGTTCAATGATTTTATCTGGCCTCATCCCTTTACTAATATGCTCTTCCCCACTCCTGCTTCAGAGAACTCAAGTGTTGTCAGCATCATGGAAAACAAAGCTGGGGAAGGGTATATGGGACCAGAGTCTCACCATGTTCCCAATCATGTCGTTCATCATCCCAAACATGTCCATGAAGCCACCTGACTAAAGCAAAGAGACAGAAAACAGGAAACTAGAGTCAATGCTCAGAAATTATCATGTTTATGTACCTACTGGCCATATTCTTTCTCTTCTTCCTTCCTATCAAATGGCTGTTCTTTCACTGCTTCCTCCTTTGCCACAAGACCAGGACTACATGGTGTCTAGTTACCATTCCTGAATACTTTGATCAAAGATTCCATAGAAGAATCTTGATTAAAAAGGAGAAAATGCAGAACTGAATTTATTGCCCTAAGGTAATCTTTAAACCTTAAACCAAAAATATCCCCTAAAGTCTTAAAACTGAATAATAGTTTAGTTTAACTAGTAAAAAATGTCTGCCTTGAGCATTAGGCAGTTTTAAGATAAATTACCTACATGGGATCATACACTGTGGAGAGAACCATCATGGGAGAACAGTAGGGCTGGGTATGCACAGGGAGAGGGCTCAGGGCAGGAGTGCATAGAGGGAAGGACACAGGGAAGAGGCAACTATGGGGAGGAAGTGGAAGGGGAGCTGTTGCATTGTGGGAAATTGTGGTCAATGTCATGAGCAAAGTGTATGTGAGCTGCCATATGGAAAGTGAATTTGCTCTGTAAACTTTCACCCAAATCACAATTAAAAAAAAAATTATCTACATGGGATCAAATTGACAACTGAACTTCAAAAGGTTAGACCTCACCTTAGGAGGTAGCAAATATATGTTAACAGAGGGACAACTCAGAAAAAGAGGGTAAGAATGGTTACACAACTCAAAGAATGTAATCAATGTCATTGAATTATATACATAAAAACCACTGAACTGCTATAAGTTTTGCTGTATATATTTTCTCAACAAAAAAATACAATTTTTCAAAAAAAGAAAATACAGATCATCTCATCATAATTCTTTCCCATAATTCCCCAAGAATCATTTCA